GCAGTCGGGCTCTGCCGGAGCCATGCAATAGCAGCGGCGACGTACTTCAGCTCGTGAACAACCCTGTGCTGATTTCTAAACTCTGCTAAGCTCAGAGTTGCCATAGAAATGCGTGATCCTGGCACTAAAAGCAGGCAACAATCTTAAATGAAAGTCATTTTATTTTTCCTCCAGTAGGTTTAGATGATCTCGGGTTTAAGACAAAAGCAGTCAGAAGGGGAAAACGGATCATTTCCAGAGAGGTTGAAAAATATAGTCATAAGCCGGTATTAAACTGCAGCAAAGAACCTGAACTCGGTTCCCATTGAGTTCAGCCCCAGAGAAAGCGCGAAGCCACCGCTCCATCCCTCGCACTGCCCACCACACAGCACACGACGCCGAAGGGAGGAAGATTCCACACAGCGAACACGGGAAAACCCGGCTGGACGCGGGAAGGCGGAAGCCCCAGGCGAGCGGCTGTTGGCCTCCCCAGCCCTCCTGCCCCATCGGCTCCTGCGCCTCCCCAGCTCGCAATATTTAAGCACAATTCCTCACAGCATCACTTTGACACGTCTCGGGGATTAGATGCATGCTGAACTACAACTGGCAATTACAGTAGCTTTTTGCTAGCTGGCACATACTGTATCTATAAATTTTAGTACAAAAACTTAAAAAATACAGAAACTAGGTCAATTTGTTAACTACATATTTACAGATAATTACAATTCTTTTCACTCACAATAATTAAACTAATTGTCAGTGAAAATTCAAACTGTGCATGTTCTGAGGTACCCGTACTCAGGGGTGGGGAGCGGGGCAGGGGACCGGAGGGGCGAGATCCCCCCGGGTTTGTTCACATCCGTGGGGGCAACGCTCGTCCCTCCTGGTTACTGGTTCCTGGACTCAGCGTGTGCACTCAGAGAAAGCAAGGAGAGAGGGAACCGATGTTGGTTTTTTTTTTTTTCCCCAGGACATGGCTTTAGGATGTTTTGAGGCCGCCAGACGGGCGCAAAGCCAAAGGTCGCATACCAAACCGCCTTCCTCCCCCCCCCCAGAGGAGCCTTAAGGTGAAGTGCAAGTATTGAGACCCACAGCTCGGTGGTTAAGGTGCTTGTTCGCCAGCAAATCCGATTTACTAAGTCCCCCTCTAGCTGACAAAGGCCTTTCCCTCCCCAGCAAAGCTCGGGCTGAGGGGCAGGGCAGGGATGCAGCAGGCAGCATCGCAGCCCCAGCTGGCTGAATCTCGTTGTGCAACAGGAACCAGGGTTATCTGCTGCCATCATTCCCTGGTGGGGTGATGTTTACTATGACCACTAGATCTATCAGCTTTTTTTTTTTTTGGCTGTAAACAGCTACCCACAACGCTCCGAAGCACCTCACATGTATTTCTCAACAGGCTCCTCCGACTCACTCGACTCGTAAAAGTGCAAACTGAAACAAACACAGCAGAGGGACACCGACCGGCGTCCCTGTCTGGCCATCCACCACTCCTCCATCCTTGGCACGTGGCTCTGGGCTCCCTGCCGGCCAGCGCCGGGGTGGGAAAAGTCCCACACGCAGGAGCACAGCTAAAGATGACACTACTCGTTGTGAAAGGGTAAGGATGTCCCAACCAAACCCGAGCCTCACCTAAAAAGCTCGCAAGAGACCTTCCAAAAGGGACAGGGGGGAGAATTACCTCCAAATTCTCTGATAGCACAAAGAAGAGAGCCCGTGGTTGGCGTGCTGCTGAGCTGGCTGGGCTTCCCCAGGGGGTAAATATCGCAGCTGGATGAACATTCGTGACGACACATGCGAGAACCATTTATCCCCCAAACTGCCAGATGTCTCACTAAGATGGGGTCTGTAGAGGACAAAGGGGAAGGTTAGAAGGGTCTTCACAGCTTGAGGAGCTCGTGGTGTCCAGCATGGCACTCGCTCCTCTGCTGTGAGAAAGACCAGGGCAAGATTTACTAGAAACGCAGAGCAAGCACCCAGGAGAAGAACAAGTCTGTCCTCTGCTTACTGGACTCAAGTAACAAAACACACACACCTAAGCAGAATAAAGAATGGACCGAGCACCTGTGTGTGTGTATATATATATGTATGTATGTATGCGCTGTACACACATACACACACACACATATCTTTTAGATCTTCCAATTTAGCTTCTCTTTTGATCCTCCACATAACCTGCTCTAGTTATTAGACGCACACAAAGGTAGACAGTGTTCAGAGTTAGCGGTGGCTTGAACTCAGGACTGCCAAAAGTTAGTGCCGGTGCAGCGTGCCAAGACCGTGCCGGGCTTGTGATCTTTCGTGGCGAGACACAGCTGGGGACTCTGAGCTCAGCCTGCTGAGCACTTCACCAGCCCACTCACCGCCTCCCCAGCAGATCGGTACATTGCCTCAACTGCTTTCCTATCGCTATACCGTCTTGTTTTCTTCTCTGCTGTCTTCTGACTTCCCGGTACCCTCTGGGAGCTCTCTTTTCTCCTTTACAGCACACCCATAGCAGCTAGCCTACCCTCCCGCTCCCCAGAAAAAGAAAGCTACAATTAGCAGGGCAGTATTTAAGCGAGGGCTTTTGACTGCAGTCAGCCCTAGCACAGCTTGTGCAGATGTACATGCCCTCGCCCTAGAGAGCCCTGCTGCAGGGTTTGCTTTTGCTCATGAACAGGAGTGCTAAAGAACAGCAGAACTGAAGTGCCCTGACAGAAATGCACAGCATGATGTGTGTGCACGTATACCCACACACACGTACATACAGAGTATATAAATATATACAAATGAGATACCATATATATATCCAGAGAGATGTGCGTATTCAACAGAGTAATGGTAGACAGTGGTACAATACAATTTATTGCCTCTCAAGAAATGGCACGTAAGCAGGGTCAAGGGGGCAGGGCAGCCTGAAGTGCAAGGGGCCCTTTTCCCCCGGGGGGTGTGTGTGGGGGGTGTTAATAAACGGCATCATCCCAGGATCTACCAGGGTGCACCCCATGCAGGTTACAGCTAGCGTGCAATGCACGTTCTTCTGGAGTGGGAGGGCTGGGTGGGAGACAGCGATGCCAGCCTGGCCCCAAGCCAGGCAAGGAATGGCTGCAGGGAATTTTCTGTGGAAAGCTTGGTATCGTACCACATTTATTTCTTCAACCCCTTTGAAGCTCACAGGCTCGGAGCGAACGCAGGTGAAACAGAGCTGGCCTCCATTTCAGTGCTGCATCCGAGGAACAAAGCACGTAACGTTCAACATGGAAGGGAGAGGTGGCTGCTGACTCCCAGGGACCACGGAGAACAAGAAAAACATGGTCCCTTTCACTGATTTTTAATTAAAATCAAAAGAAATTCAAATCAGAAAGAGGTGAAAATGCCAGCTCCTCTGTTTTTTTCATCTCTGGGCTAAACTACATCAAAACTGTAGGTCTTTGCAAAGGGGAGAGAAAAATAACCACAGAATAAGAGATTTCAGGGGTCAAGCTGGTGATTTGAAAATACCGCAATAAAATTTGCAAAGTAGTCCACACAGAAGAGTTTCCCCAGTGTTAAATACGAACATAAAAGATGCAAAAGAACATCTTTGCTGAGGTACTGGAGTAGTTTCCACAATTTACAGATTACAGTATTTTTAAAACCAAAGTTAGGGCATGACTGCAACGAGTACAATATGGAGTAATTGGTCTTACTTTTAAAAATAGAGTTTGCAAACTGATTCAGAGAGTGTTTGCGTCTCTCCAGCGTATTTTATAGCTGTTTATGTATCTCAGAAATATACCTGAGAGACACATTAAAATTCTCAACACCAAGGGCCTCCTCATATACCTCCAAGGCACAGCCTGACCTTGAGTCCCTCTGGCTACAGCTGCATAATGGGGTGCTTTCTCTCGAGAGCAGGCTTGTTTGGGACAGCTTTCCTTCCCCCACATACACACAGGGACACACACATTTAGACCAGTTGATCTGAATCAGTTTTTGCAAACTATTTTAATTAAAATATTAACTTGTTGGAATAGTCCAGGTCTGCACATGATATACATGTAAAAATGGTTACTACACAATTCTTTTTGAATACAAAAAAAAGCCAATATGGGATAGCCATCATTTGGATTCAGCATTCAGTCATGCTTGACATTACACAAAGAGATGGGTTGAGAGAACTCTGTCGAAGTAGCTCAATTTAAGCCAGAGACTTTGACCAAATTCAAACCATAACAGAAGCAAAAGAATGAACCCACTGAACTTGCAGGTATAGCCTGTCCCCGCCGTCACTGCTGCTGTTTGTGATAGAGGAGCTGAACTTCAAAACGCTGTGTTAGCACCATGCTCTGGGCACACCCTCCACTCTCACATGGTAAATCCCATGCAGTTTTGGCCTTTCATTTCATTTTTGTCTCTTTCTAAACCCAGGAAAATACAGGTACCTTTCCTAATTCAGTTTCGCTGCATTTCAACAACACTGCAATGCAAAAGAATGACCCCAAAACATCCAATTCCACATAAAAACATAGCAGAGGAAAGGACAGGACAATTCACAGTCACAGCCTGCCCCGGGGGGCAACCAGAGTCACCTCCACGGGACCACCGCCTCATCCCAGGCTTCCGCCAACTGTTAGTACTACAAAGCTCCTTAATAACGGCTGCTCAAACATATTTTGGTAAAGTTTCCATCTTTGATTAGAGTGATGTGCTACGTCAAGATGCTAGAAATCCCAGTTGGATTCACCGGACACTGGCAGAGAGTTAAGGACTGGGAGTGGATGTTAATTTAGCTAACAAAAGAACGTCGCCCTGTTGAGAGTACTGAACAGCAGCGAGACACTAGAGTATTTACTATATAAATATGTCACATGGACAAACACATTCGGAAAACCTTGCTTTTGAGCCCTATAAACATATTAAAGGCAAATCCTAGAGTTAGCAGCTAGTGTTTTCTTCAAGATGATTAGTGTGCAAGGATAAACATTTACAAAGAACCCTGGCTGGTCAGTCCCCAAGACGGAAATCTT